CCCCCCCCACCCCCGCCAGTTTGGGCTTTAAAAAGATAGCGCACACTCTCGCCTGCCCCATTTCCCTCTTTCCACTAGCTAGGGGGATAACAAGAATTAGAGCAGCGCCTTGACTTTATCCTCCCAGCTCTGGAACACTTTGAGAGGTAAAAGCATGTTAATTATAAAAGGTAGTTCTGAGTAAACATTCTTAGCAAGAGGTGAGACCCCAAAACTTTCTCAAGAACTTCTATGAACACTTACGGGCCAGATTTGGAACTAGCCTAGTGACAAAATCAAATTATAAGTGTTGCCTTTCAATACAAGCCCATTGCTTCATACATCTGAAGGTAGCATCATTAAGCCAAGAGAGCAGAGAAAAGCAGAACACAGAGGCCAGTAAATAAATATAAGTGAATGTAAGTTTAAAACTATATGTATACAAGTAATAATATGGAAAAATCACACACATATATATATACATATACACATATACTATATATTCTAAGACATGAGTGAAGGCAGTACAGTGTATAAGGAATTCCCTTTAAGAAATGGGGGAGGAGACTAATACATATGTTTTTGCTTTTATTTTCATGCAGATGGACAAGAAATTAATAAAGGGTTTTACCTGTAAAGAGAGGCAATGAGGTGGGTGGGTCAGGTGTGAGAGACTATTTTACTGGATACTTTTTGATACACTTTTTATGTTTTAACCATGTGAATATAATCTTTTCATAAAAAAATAAGCACTCTATGTGGATGAGGTAGAATTCCTCACTCCCCTATAATAGGATTATACATCGGTACCATCTGCCATGTAACTTTGTAGCACCTCCCACTGGAAACATTCGTTTGGGTTTTGGCCATGCTTTTAGCCATTAGACTATTAACCAAATGTAATCAAACAGAGGCTTCAAATGTGCTTGTGTGGCTTAGGCTGCCCTCTTGCACTCCTGCTGTTTGTCATGAGAAGAACCTGTCCAGAGTCTAAAGAGGACAAGAGATACATGGAGCAGACCCAAGCCCAAACTTCAGCCTGGACCTGGGTCCAGTTGACCTGCAACCTAAAGCTGAACTGCCCCATGAACCCATGAACAAGAAAAATGTTTGTTCTTATAATACACTGAAGTCCTGTTGCTGGAGAAAACTGACTGATACACTAGATCAATGCTGTTCGATTGGTACTTTCTGCCTTGATGCAAATGTTCTACAATCTGTGATACCTAGTGCAGTAGCCACTAACCACATGTGGCCACTTGCATACTTGAAATATGAGTACTGCAACTGAGGAATTGAAATTTTCATTTTATATCATTTTAATTTACATTTAAATTTAACCATATGTGGCTAGTGGCTACTCTGTTGCACAATACAGCATTAGACGAAATCTATGCCTGAGATTATTTGCCCATGAAAATTACTAGAAAAAAATAGATCAGAAGCCCACAGAATTAGTTTCCTAGGACTTCTATAATGAAGTAGCACATACTGAAATGGATTTTAAAAACCCAAAATTTATTCCCTCACAGTTCTGGATGCTAGAAGTCCAAAATCAAGGTATCAGCAGGGCCATGCTCTCTCTGAAAGCTGTACAAGAGAATCTGTTTCATGCCTTTCTCTTAGCTTCTGGTGTTGTTGGCAATTGTTGGCTTGTAGACATGACTCCATTCTCTCCTTCCATTTTCACGTGGCATGTTCCCTGTTTGTGTCTCTCTTTGTATCTCTTTTCCTCTTCTTGTAAGGACACAAGTCATATTGGATAAAGTGCCCCTCCTGCTTCATCATGACCTCATCTTGACTAATTATATCCATGCATCTGCAACAACCCTGTTTCCAAATAAGTTCATAGTCACAGCTACCAGGGATTAGGACTTCAACATATCTTTTTAAGAGGCACAATTCAACCCATAATACCTACTGAGTTTTGAGAGAATTGTATTGCAAAAAAAAAAAAAAAAAGCCTGGACTCAAAAATTCTGTATGTATT